CAAAGAGCCTGATAAGATTGGAAGCAGTGTCTGGTTTAGACAGAGGTGATAGAGGAAACTTAGAATTCTAAGGATGGGAGGATCTGAAAGCAAGAGTGTGGTTGATGCTCGCACGAATGGTGAAGTGGGGCTCAGCAGGGGGTGGTAGAGGCTGCCGCACTGGGTGACTTTATGTTACACACCGGGGAAAACCAGTGAAAAGTAAGCATTGAAAAAATAAATACCCATTTGGGACTTTGCTGGTGGCGCAGTGGTTAAGAATCCACCTGCCAGTTCAGGGGACACGGGTTTGAGCCCAGGTCCGGGAAGATCCCACATGCCGCGGAGCAACTAAGCCCGTGCACCACGACTACTGAGCCTGCGCTCTAGAGCCCGCGAGCCACAACTACTGAGCCCACGTGCCGCAACTACTGAAGCCTGCGTGCCTAGAGCCCGTGCTCCCCAACAGGAGAAGCCACCACAATGAGAAGCCCATGCACCACAACGAAGAGTAGCCCCTGCTCGCCACAACGAGAGAAAGACCATGCGCAGCAACAAAGACCCAACGCAGCCAAAAATAAATAAGATAAATTTTTAAAAATTAAAAAAAAAATACCCATTAGCATGCTTTTTTGTAGACAATGACAAGTTGATAAAATTTATGTGGAAATGCAAAGGACCTAGAATAGTCAAAACAATTTTGTAAAGAAACTTATACTACCTGATTTCAAAACTTTGTACAAAGCTACAGTACCCAAGACTGCAACTGGCATTAGATTAGTCATATAGAACAATAAAACAGAATAGGGAGTCCAGAAATAGACCCACATGTGTATGGTTAGCTGATTTTTGACAAAAGTGCCAAGTTAATTAAATGGGGAAAGGACCTTCAACCTTACGTCACATACCACAGTTGACTCAAATCATAGACCTGAGCATAAAAAATAAAAAAATATGAAACTTCTTGGAGAAAATATAAAAGAAAGTCGGTGACTTTGGGTTAGGTGGCAATGATTTCTTCAGACACAAAAAGCATGACTGAAAAAAACTGATAAACTGGACTTTATCAGAATGAAAATTTCAGAAGACAATGTAGTTTGCAGACTGGGATAAAATGTCCAGAGTACATATATCCGACAAAGGCTCTCTGTTTAGAATATATAAAGAGTCCTTAAAGCTCAATAAGGCAAGATTATGAAATTAAAAATTGGCAGAAGATTTGAACAGACACTTCACAAAAGGAAGTATACTAATGGCCAATAAACACATGCAAAAATGCTCAATATCATTGGTCATTAAGGAAAGGCCAATTAAAATTGCAATAAAATTCTACTACTCACCCACCCTCTAGAATGGCTAAATAGAAAAAGAATTACAGGGCTTCCCTGGTGGCGCAGTGGTTGAGAATCTGCCTGCTAATGCAGGGTACACGGGTTCGAGCCCTGGTCTGGAAAGATCCCACATACCGCGGAGCAGCTAGGCCCGTGAGCCACAACTACTGAGCCTGCGCGTCTGGAGCCTGTGCTCCGCAACAAGAGAGGCCGTGATAGTGAAGAGGCCCGCACACCGCGATGAAGAGTGGCCCCCGCTTGAGGCCCGCGCACCACGATGAAGAGTGGCCCCCGCTTGCCACAACTAGAGAAAGCCCTTGCACAGAAACGAAGACCCAACACAGTCAAAAATAAATATATAAATAAATAAAAGATTACTAAAAAAAAAAATTACAATACCAAGTGTTGCCAAAGGTGGGAATGCAAAATGGTACAGCCGTTGGAGAAAACAATTTGGCAGGTTTTTGACACCAATTTCACCCAAGAGAAGTGAAAGCATGTCCACAAGAGAATTGGCACTTGAATATTCATAGCTCCTTTATTCGTAATAGCCCCAACCTGGAAACAATCCAAATGCTATCATAGTTCATGGGAAAAGCAGCAGAATGGTCATATGATGAATACTACTCAGCTGTGAAAAGGAACAAATTACTGACACCTACAACTAGATGGATGAACCTCAAAACCATGCTCAAAGAAAGAAGCCAAACAAAAGAATACATGAATGTGACTACACTGATACAAACGTCTAAAAAGGCAAGACTAACCTATGATGACAGAGTGGAGAAGTGCTTACCAGGAGCCAAGGGTAGGGAGGTAGGGATTAACTGTACAAAGGGACTGTTAAAAGATAATTTTCAAAAACGAATAAAATCATGACTCTCTTACAGATGTAAAAATGAAAGATTTTATTTAACTCATTAATGAGAAAACTGTTAAGGGTATTACAGCCAATTCAAAGGAGATATTGAAAAACAGAAACTTTATAGGTCAGGAATACTGAAGTGAATGTACAAATGAAGACAAAACTGATTTCTTCCACACAGCGGGAGGGAGGTCAATTGAACCTCCACAGAACAGGACAGAATTTGCATTTATATAGACAAGAAGTATTTTGCTTTGCTATTAGTTACTTACAACCTACAAAGTTGTAAAACAGCCCCAAGACAATGAAAGACTAGAATCAGATAACTTAAAAGGATGCACTGTATGTAGACAATGCATTATTTTCCACTGAAGCATATTTATTTTTCCTGCAGTGCACAGAAGGATATTGGAGTGATGAGAAATTTCTAAGTCATGATGGTGGTGGTAGTTAACTGGATGTATACATTTGTCAAAACTCATTGAACTGTACAATTAAAATAGGTGTGTTTATTTTATGTAAGTTATATCTCAATAAAGTTGATTAGAAAAAGAAAAGAATAACCAACAGCATTTGGGGAGGAGAGAGTGAGAACGAGTAGATACAGCAGGACTAATCGGGAGGCTATTATAGCTGGCCAGGTAAGGGGAAGGGCTCCCATTAGCAGTAGTTACTGATTTGGAGACAGATACACATGAATGAATGAATTCCTTATTTTCAAACTTCATGTTTAATCTGGGGGAAGGTTCAAAAGTTTGATGAAAAGACAAAATATTCGACTGGATGTGAAAATAGTTTTACAAAAAAAAAAAAATCCTAAAAAACAAAGAACACAGTGGCCTCGCATTTAGTAAAAGCAGTATGGCGTAGCAGGTTGCTCAAATGCTAGGTTTCTTTGGGCTAATATTTGAGTGTTTAGCATGTACCAGACATCTTATTAGGCTGAACCACATGAAATTGCCAACATTTGACCCTTTTGACCCAGAAGTGGCAACTTCATGTAGTTCATCCTAATATAAGTCCTTAGATTCTTATTTACTCCTCACATCTGTGAGGTGGGTAGCCCCTCCCTACACCCCACACTTTTACAGATGACAAAAGCACCCACCAAGGGGTCAAAGAATTTGCCCAATAATATCACCTTCTTAGTAAATGATAGAAGCAAGGTTCAAACCCCTGTGGCGAACTCCAGATCGGCATTGTAACTAACGCCTGTGATGCACTATTCAAAACACCGCAGAAGGACTTCCCTGGTGGCACAGTGGTTAAGAATCCGCCCGCCAATGCCGGGGACATGGGTTCGAGCCCTGGTCCAGGAAGATTCCACATGCCGCGGAACAACTAAGCCCGTTCGCCACAACTACTGAGCCTGCGCTCTAGAGCCGGCGAGGGAGAGCCCCATGCCACAACTACTGAAGACAGTGCGCCTAGAACCCGTGCTCCACAACAAGAGAAGCCACCACAATGAGAAGCCCGCGCACCGCAACAAAGAGTAGTCCTCCTCGACGCAACTAGAGAAAAGCCCGCACGCAGCAACGAAGACCCAATGCAGCCAAAAATAAATAAATTTATTAAAACAACAACAACAACAACTGCAGAGTCCTGGGCAGTGCTGTTAGGGATAGGAATGGTTTCTCAGAAATGTGCTTAGTCTCCTAAGAGTTTCTAAGGCTAAACCCAGATCCCAAATTTTACCCTATGGCCAGGTTTCTGGCATCCTTCCCAGCACTTCCAGGGATCTGCTGTCCCTGCCCAGAAACCAGGAAGCCTTTGTGTTCCTCCATATGGCCCCTGGGTAGGCATCTTCCTAATAATGCCTTCTGACTGCTCCTCACCTACCTGTCCAAACCCCACCTGCCCTGTGTCACGGAGCTCACAGTCCCTAACAGCCCCCAGCCATGAAAATCGTCACTGCCACTCATAGTTCCTGATCATTATCATAAGCTGAGGTTTTATTTCATGACCGCACGCCCTACACGGGAGGGTCACTGCACGAGTGTCCCTCTGGAGGGAGTGGGTGGCCCCACTGTTTTACCCAGGATGAAACTAGGTGACACCCAGTGGCAGGGCAGGATCTCTGACCACTCCTTCAAACGTGGCTAGCTGCTGTCCTTCCGGGACTTTATCCTCACATCTGAGTCTCAGCTCTCTCCTGGCTCTTGAAGTGCTGGGAAATTGGGTGCAGAGTGGCAGGTGTTTTTTCGAGTCTCCACCTCCAGCAGGGGAGCTGGAAGAGCCTTGGGGGAGTTACTTCCAGGCCTTCCTCCCCAAGCCACCCTACCTTGGTGCACATTTGCCCAAGAGCTGAAGGCTCCCGCGTTGGGCTGCGGCGCATCCCTAGCCCGCGAGGCTCTGGCGGTCGGTGAGCCCCGGCGTCGCCCTCAGGACCCCGCAGGAGTCGCACAGTTGGACTGGAGAGCGCCGGCAGGCGGGCTGCGACTTTCCCCGAACAGGAATTCAGTTGGGGCTGCGCCGGCGACAGCGGCGGGCACTCAGGGCGGGGAGGCGGCCAGATCAAAGGGAGCCGCCCGCTGGGCCAAGACTTGTCCGGGAGCGCGAGGGGCCACCCCTCCGGGGAGGGCGGGGGACACCCCGAGCGCCGACCCGAGAGCAGCCCGGGCGCCCACGCCGGGCCAGGGAGAGAGAGAGGGAGAGAGAGAGGAGAGAGAGAGAGAGAAGAGAGAGGAGAGAGAAGAGAGAGGAGAGGAGAGAGAGAAAAGACAGAGAGACAGAGAAGAGAGAGGAGAGAGTAGATAGAGAAGAGAGAGAAGACAGAGAGAAAAGAGAGAGAAGAGAGAGAGAGAGAAGAGAGATCAGAGAGAGACAGAGGAGAGAGAGAGAGAGAGGAGAGCCGCGCGCCCCCGCCCCGCGCGCCCCCGCGGCCGCCGGAGCTCCCCTCCCGAGCCCTGAGCGCTGGCGCTGCCGGGCCTGCGCCGCCGTCCCAGTGCTCCCGCCCCCGGAGGAGGCGAGGCCCGGCGTCAACCGACTCGCCGGAGCGGCCCGGGAGGCGCGAAGGCGCCAGGCGGAGCAGCCTCGGGAGGGAGAGGATGCCTCGACTCCCCGGCAGCGCGGCGCTCCCCCTCTGCGTGGTGCTGCTGACCGCGCTGCTGGCCGCGGTGCGAGCGCTCCCCCTGCGGAAGCCGCGGGGCCCCGGCTGGAGCCACGTGAGGCTGGCGGAGGTGAGCGGCGCGGCGCGGGCTGCGGCGCGCTGGGTTCCTGCTCCCCCGGCCCCCAGCTCTGGCCGCGCGGGGAGCAGGACCGGGACGCGAGTGGTGGCCCCCGAGTGCGAGGGGCGGGACCGGCCCGGACGTCGGCGGGCATCGGGCGGTGGCCAGGTGCGCCGGACCTGCGGAAAACACCCCCGGGCTGTGAAGCAGGTCACCCTGGGGAGAAACGTTACGTCTGTGCTGAGTTTGGTGCGCAGACACCCTGCAGCCTCCCGGCTTCCTTTCCCATCCGCCCGCCGCGTCCCCGCGGCTGCCTCGCCCTGAGCGAACCTCTCCTGCAGCCATGAGGTTCAGGTGCGCGCTCCGAGAGGAGTCCGGAGGCTGCTCAAGGACCGCAGCGCTTTGCGGAGTGGCGGGCGGGTGTTGCTGAGGTTCCAGCGGCGAAGTGAGCCCCTGGTGCAGCCTCTTCAATCAAATCTTCAAAGGATTTGGGTCCTTTAGGGTGTGAATTGAGAGAAGGTGAGGTAGTAAGTGGGGGCCTCCAACTTGCTGGGTGGGACCTTTATATCATTAGGTACTTGAACAAGCAGAAGAGGTCGGTAAGAGGTAGAGGAGCGCTTTCTGGGGTTGGGGAGGGGCTGTGAGTGGGCTTTTGCGGGCGACTGAAGACAGAGGAGTGAGACCAAGAGTAGTTTAGACACGAAGAGAAATCACCGTCTGCCAAAACCCGCGTCTCCCGTCGCCAGGGGTCAACGGTCCAGCCGTTCCCTCCTGGACCACAGCGGACTCATCCCCATGGGGACAAAGCCCGCCAGACTTGTTGCAGGGTTCACGGGAGCAGGCCTGTGTGGCAGGGGGTCCTGGCCTCTCAGTGCACGGAGCAATTCTAGGGGGAGGCCGGAGTGGCTCTTCTCATTTTCCAGATGAGGACACTCAGGGCCCGAGGCGGGTGCAGGAGAGCAGTGAAGTGAGCGAGAGCCTGAGCCTGGGGCCCTGTCAGTGCCCAGGCTGCTGAGGCCCTCCAGAGGCAACGGGAAGAAAGCACGTCCCCTGCATTTGAGGAGGGGGGGGTGGTCTCTGTGGACCCTTGTTTGTCCATCTTTTTTTCATGACTGCCCTCCCTCCTAAGGAGATTTTTAGACTCTATTTGTTCTAAGTGCCTCCCCCATGAAATTTTAATACCACAGATATGCTCTCTATTCATGCACTAAGGCCCTTTGGAGTGTTACAAACCATTGTTTTGCAATAATACTTAGATTTTTTTGCCTCCTCCTCCAAGATCTAATTTTTGCCCCTGTTGAGAGTACGTCCTGTAGACCAGGCGTTCTCAGCCTCCACACCACCATCATCCTGGGGTTACACACGTCTTTGTTGTGAGTTGTAGCCTTGTAGGATGTTTAGCGGCATTGCTGGCCTCTACCCACTAGATGCCTGTAGCACCCGCTGCCCAGAGCCAGACGTCATTTCCTGTGGGATACCCCCTCTTCCTGCCCGTTGTTAGGAGCCACAGCTGAAGACAAATCTAGAGGAACCGAACAGCCTCTGGCCAGTCCACTTCCTCAGTGGAGATGACAATGGAAAATAAAATCAACTGAATTGGTATAAATACTTCTTTACTTACCCCTTTGATTGTAATTATTTTTAGTATGTTTGCCAGATCTTCCCCCAAGGCCAGCCCAGAGGATGAGTTACTTCAGAGCCAAAGTCATATCCCCAGCCCTGGTACAGAGCCTGGCAGAGCCCTCAGAAACATGTTCAAACAAATTACTGGCATGGAGGAAAAACAGAGCTTGCAGCCCGAGGCCTGGGGTTCTGGTCCCAGCTGGTTATTAACTCACGTGTGACTCCCCTTGGACAATTTCCTGACATTTGAAAGGAGGGGCTAAGTCACCTCCATGGTCCCGTCCAGCTCAAGCGTTGTTTCCCATGTGTGAATGATGTGTGCTAAAGCAGTCGCACGTCGAAGGTGTGAGCTGAGGAATCGTGTTGAAAGAGTGCACACTGCTATTCTAGGGCCTTGGTGATGTGTCAGACATCACTGACCAGCCCAGGGGGCTTTGTGAAGAAGCTGAGGAACATAAACCCCCCCTGGATCCAAAGGTGTAGGATGACTGCAGGGCAGTAAGCATCGCTTGGGCCTGACAGACTCAGTACAAAGTACTTAACATGATGTCATTTCATTGTCAAATATCTGACATGGGCATCATTCCCATTTTCCAGATGAAAACAATCGAGGCACAGAGATGGTAAGCCTCACTGGGATTGGGAGCCAGGTCTGTCTTTCCAGAGCTACACTGAGACCTTTGCGTGTCATGCTCCAGCCTGCTCATCTAAAGTCTTGAAATCATTACTATCGTGAGCAAAATATGCCATCCTCTCTCTGGGCAGGCCTGTTGCTGAGCCTCAGTTTACTCCCACAGTCGAGTGGGAATGAGAACCCACTTTGTTGGGTGGCATGCGGGGTGAGAAAGCACTGTCCACGTGGGTGGCCTCGTCGTTACAAGGGGCTGGAGCCACGCAATTTGTGGGGTGCTGGACGAGCAAAGAATGATACAGCTCTGCCTTGGGTATCTTCTATTCTAGTCGGGATCAGAACACCACCCAAACAACTGCAGGGCATTTTGTGTTCCTATAGTCTTGTTGTCCTCATTTGAAGGACAAGGAAACTGACAATGGGTCCAATAACTAAGCCAGGGTCCAAACCCAGCTTTGCTTAATTCTCCAGCCCCTGGGCACCTAACCCTGGCACTCACCACCTCCTAGGCCAGCAAGGGAAGACCCTGGGGCAGGGCGGAGGGGAGCTGGGGACTTGCAGCCACAAGAGGATAATGGAGGTTAGAACTAGGCAAGAGAGAAGAATTGATAGAGGGCAGCTCCTCGGCTTCAAGGACTGTCCCGCAGGAAGGATTCCCCCACGGGGCAGAGCTGGGCACATTTCATGCTGCAGCAGCAGGGGTTCAGCTGCCATGGGAGGAAGTACTTTGTGAGGGTGCAGGCTGAGATGAAGGACTAAACACAGAGGAAGGAGCTCCCCAAACCCGGGTCAGCGTCACGCACGTGGTAGGGGTACTTAGGCAGCACTTCAGTCCTGGTGCGTCATCCAGCCAGTTACCTGGCAGCAGGGCCTGGACTGCAGGAGGGGCATGGTGGGTTGAAAGGTCTCATCTGCCAGGTGGGTGGCACCGAGAAGCAGGTATTTTTCTGAAGATAGGCCTTCTTTGGTTGGGGTCTTTCTGGCCTAATCAGTGAGCAACTGACAGAAGGGGAACTGGAACCCAGGTCTGTGTGAGGCGAGCCTGTGGCCCTGCCCTCCGCCACCTCCTGCAGCTCGGCACCTTCCCGCCTCTTGACTGTGAACTTTGTTCTCCCTCCAGACCATTCTTCTCCCTCTGAGAGGTCGGAACCACGGGAAAGGTGGTTGAGGGAGAGAAGGAAGGTCAGGAACTGAGACCTGGAGGCTGGGCTGCTCAGTGGTCCCAGGCAAGTCCCAGCCTCGCTGGATCTCAGTCTCCTAATCGTCCCTGCCCTTCTCACCTCGCTTGGTTGTTATGAGGATCAACAGGAAGGATGGATATGAAAAGCAGAATATCCTGTCCTAGTGTTTTGTTCATTCGACACATTCCGCACCCCACAGTGGCAGGCAGTGAACCAGAAGGTGCTGCCCGTGCCCGGAGCTGGCAAAGCACAAGGATTAAGAGCACAGGCTCTCTAGCCAGATCATCTGCCTCAAAACCGGGTCTGCCAGCCCCCCGTGTAACCCTGAGCAAGTTCCTCCACCTCTCGGATCCTTGGCTGCCTCCCTAGGAAGTGAGGGTGATGCTGGTACCTCGTGGTTGTGAGGATTCATTGGGTCCGTACCTGCAGGGTGATCGACAGCACTGGCTTCGTAGTTCATGGGGCCCAGTGCAGAATGAAAACGTGGGGTCTCTAAGCATTTCAAGATGGCAACAGCAGAGCAGTAAACCCTGTGCAGCGTGCTGTACAAGTGCACAGGTCACACAGCATGAAGCCAGCCCTGGTGCTTGGAGGGTGTGCTCTGAGGTAGGTCTCCCTCCCAGGCCAGGGTGGGCTGGGTTAGAACAGCGCACACCAGTGAGGAGGGTGACATCCAACCCCACTCCTCTGCCGGTGGTCCTCTGGCCTGTCTGGAGAAGCAACCGCCTTTGAATGATGGGGCTCCAGCACCTCCGGGAAGCCGTGGTGACTGTGTGTGCAGCCGGGCTCCGTAGGGATGCACCCGGGCCTCAGCAGTGGCTGTGCAGAGGAGAGATGCTGGACTGCACCTGGCAACTGGATTTCATTATCCAGAACAAGTTCCTGACCCCTGAGAGGAGGCAGAGGGGAGAAGGGAGAGTGGGGGGACTGTGAGGGGAGCTGAAGCAGGTTAGCAGGCAATGCTCAAGCAATGCAGTAAGGGTTTGTGGGTAGGGGGGGCTCTTATGTTAACTGGAAACACATGGGTCAGGGCTGCCCTGCCAAGCCTGGGAGCATATGCGTGGGCCCGTGTGTGTGTGTGTGTGTGTGTGTGTGTGTGTGTGGACACATCTTGGTGTATATCTATATATCTCATGTTTATCTGGGTAATGACACCATCCCCAAAAGAATGGAGCTGTGTATTTGTACATGTGTGAAACTCCACATTTAAGCATAAAAGATGTGGGAGGTGGTCCCGTGGGATAGGGCAGGTGTTCTTAAACAGGTGGGAGCCTCCAAAGTTGCTTCAGAATGTCATGGAAATACACCGCCCAGAGATCTGCATCAGTAGTGGAGGGGGGCGGTCTTCAACCCAAGTAAGATGTAAAGAACCAACACCGTGCTGGTGAGAGGGGTGCTGCCCGCTCTCTCTCTGAGAACTATCTATCACCACCTCTAGGTAACACTCACTGCATGTGCCAGGCGCCGTTCTAACTCAACAGCCCTATGAGACAGGGATGGCCGGCCGTTTCCCTAATTTACAGGAGGAGAAACTAAGGCAGATTAAGTAACCTGCCCACGGTCATACAGCCAGTAGGTGTCCAAGTTGGGGTTTGATCCCAGGTGATGTGGCCTCCAGCCTGCACTCCTTACCACCACCTTCGGGGCCAGACAAGAAGATGAAAGCCGAAGCGCTTTTTGAATGCAGAGGGGGTTGCGCTTGAGGGGTAATTGGCCTGACTGTCTGCGCAGGCGCGTGTGCACCGATGCCTGGGCGTTGAGATCCGGCAGAGCTGAGTTTGAGCCTAAGCTCCCATAGTGTAACCTGTGAGACCTTATGGAAACCCCTTACCCTCTCTGAGCCTCCACAGCCTCATCGTTGACACAGAGATAGTCACACTCACCCCTCATCAGTGCTGGCATTCATTCAATCACTCAGAAATGATTTACTGAGCGCCTGTACTGTGCCAGGCACTGTGCTAGGCACGCGATACAGCGTGACAAAGCAGACAGACATTTCTACCTGCACGGAGCTTACACCCTAGCTGAAGTAAGTGTCAGAAGGTATGTAAAGGGCCTGGTCCAGGCGCGGTACGGAAGATGCGCTCAGACGGTGCTTACACGTCAGGGCTCTGAGTGCTCTGCCCACATCCCTGCAGGCCTCACTTCCAGTTGCCTGAGGGCTTTTGCTGGCACTAGGGCCTGCTCTGAGCTGTGCACGGCCAGCCCGAAGCGCCTGGAGTGCCCATCCTCTCCCCCACCCAGCCTCCCTCAGCCGATGACCAATGGCATAACTGAGGCGCCCAGTGGGATGCGCTCCAGTTGTGCACCGTGGTCACTGGCTTCATGGAGCATTCTTTACTAGCTGCCTCCCTCCCTGACTTGCTGCCTCACTCCCTGCTGGTGTCTCCAGGGATCACTTTCCAAAGGAACCACTTGCCCTTGAATCTTTGTCTCAGGGTCGGCTTCTCAGGGAACCCAAACTAAGATCAGATGTCCCCCTCCGCTCCGGGGAGTTCCCCAGGGGCTGACACACAGGGCAGGAGGCTCCAAGAGAGGAAGGGTGGTGTGTGTGGCTGTGATGTTGAGCCAGGGCTTTCTGTGGTCTCTGCTCATCGTCTGGTCCGATTGGGGAGGGGTGGAAACGGACACTTTGAATGCCTGCTCAGTACCAGCTCTGTCCCATCACCATTTCCATTTTACAGATGAGGACGCTCACAGAGGTTATGTCACCTGCCAGGGTCCCACAGGTCAGAAGCCAGGCCACCACTGGCATTCAGACGCAGGCAGCCTGACTCTAGAGCAGGGTCTCTTAACTGCAGCACTGTTGACATTCTGGGCTGGATAATCCTTGCTGTGATGTTGTGCTATGTATGCATTGTTAAGATTTCTGGTTTCTACCCACTAGATGCCAGTAGCACCCCCTTCCCCGCCCCAGCTGTGACAACTACAAATGTCATTGCCAAATGTCCACAGATGAAACCTGGTGTTTGTGCCCAGGAGGCTGGGGTATCTAAATCAGCTAGAAAGGCTGCAGACCCTGAACTGCTGCTGCCCCAAGTCTGCCTGTTTCTGTGCCCAGAGGCTGCAGACAGAGGAACTGCTGGGCAAAGTCTCGGGGACAGTTAGGGCTTCCGTGGAATGATGGGTGGGAACTGCTAGGAAGGTGGCATCTGGGGATGCTCCAGGCCTCCAGGATTGGCCAGAGAAGGGGTTGGGTTGTTCCATTACTCATCTATCCATCTTCTGCTCATCCGTCCCGGCTATCTGGACCAGAACACTTTCACTCATCGAGAGACTCTGGGCCCCGGTTGAGATGGGCCCACGGCTGCCCTGGGACCAGGTGTTTAGCGCAGGAGCCTCGTTCATTTTGGTTGTTTTTTGTTTTGTTTTGTTTTGTTGGCTGCGCCACGTGGCATGCGGGATCTTAGTTCCTTGATCAGGGATCGAACCCGTGCTCCCTGCAGTGGAAGCGTGGAGTCTTAACCGCTGGACCACCAGGGAAGTCCCAGTGCAGGAGCCTTGGAGCCAGGCCTCTGGGGACCACAGAAGGAGGGGGTCAAAGGGGAAAGACATGAGAAACAAGACTGATTCAGCCCCTGATTTGTGAAGTAGACTCTCAGCGCTCCTGCCTGCAGTGTTGGAGCATGCTGGTTAAGAGTGTGAGCTCTGGCTGGCTGGTTCAAATCCTGCTTCTAACAGTAAATGTCTGTGTGACCTCAGGCAAGTTACTTGCCTTTTCTGTGCCTTAGTTTTCATGATCAAAATGGAGATGACAGCTAGCCCTTACCTCTGAGGGTTGTTGGGAGGATTAAACGAGTGATTTAAGTGTTTAGAATAGTGCCTGCCACAGGGGATGCTGTGGAAGTGTTTGATAAAGAAAATTCTGACAATCCTTCCAGGTAGGAATTATTATTCTCATTTTGTTGATGGGAAATCATCAAATTGAATGAGCAAGTGAGAAGGAGAGCTGCGATTTGAACCCAAGCTGATCTGACTCTCCAGACCCATGTTTTTCAGCCGTACCACACTGTCCGAGGTATGAGGCGGGAGGTGGGCTCAAGGCTGTGGCCCACAGGTGAGGTCCACAGGCTCCTGGCCCCTGAGGCTCACCAGGCAGCCCTGGACAGGGCTCTTTCTGCCCTGGTGTAGAG